ATGTTTCTTACTCCATGTTTATTGTTCTACTTGGAGCTGCAACTCAACCATCAAATAGTTTTGAAGGAGGATAAGAAGCGGCAAATCGCTGGTTTTATCTTGTATCATCATTTTGCCGTTAAAATCTGTAGGGAACATTCAATAAATGCAGTTAATTTAACGGGAAAACTAAATATCCTGACATTATTAAATGCAGCACGACATGTCTGAACTGAGCGTCCTCTGTCACGTATGCTCTGGCTTGCAATAGCTATGCAAGTCTAACGATTTGGGGAAATGCAATGACGACATAATCGTTAGTGACAAATTGGTGCTATCTGTATACTCAGCCGAACTATTTCGCTATCCAAATAAACAGGCGTTAAAATCGTATAAACTTCCTATTTCAGCATTAATCTTCAATGAACATAAATCAAACGTATCAACATAGACGAAATATAAAAAGAAATAAATAGAATACAAGTTACAGTTCCAGAGCAAGCTGTCCTGCAAGTTTTTATAGCAGTCACTGTAGTAAGCACCGGCAAAACAAACTGCGGCCACGTCACTGCTTGGGTTGTTACCGGTGCCTTCAAGGATACACTGCAGGACAGGGCAAGGAATGAAACAAGAATCTCTCTTCTATGCGGACAAAAGCAACGAAGAGCTCCGCCTCAATGTTTTGCCAAGAACTGCACGACTCACGCCAACTGCGATGCATGCTGCGCGTTACCATGCCACATCTAACAAACTTTGCTTTAGTAGAATTTTTCCAGTGTTCCTCGGAAGATTACCCGAAGGATAACTAGAATTTGAAACAAGAACCAACACCAGGGGCCACGGCTATAAGCTAAAAAAATTGCGCTGCAACTTCTCCACGCGACAAAATTTCTTCTCGCTTCGAATCACCGACATGTGGAACAGCCTCCCCGATGACATCGTTGGCGCTCCAAGTATGAACGCGTTCAAGAACAGACTAGATAAAGCTATAGAAAAATATATGTTCAGATTTGAAATGCCTAGCTCCTTATCGAACCCGGTGGAAGTCTAGTAGCTACTCTAAACTGTCGTCAGTCATGAAAAGATCCAGTCAAATGACACGATATTAGATCTTCTGTGAACAAGGAACGAAAAGATCAAGAATCGGCGACAGGCCACATCAGGCCTACGCTTCAGCGCCGACATCACTATGTTATGTTATATCATAATGTTATATAAAATCTATTGACTGGTATCTGTCGTCGAACAGCCTTATGCATCTCTTTTAATTTTGTTTACTATATCTCCGTCGATGGTCGCCAGAAATGGAGGCGTTCCTTTGCATCCAAGTCCGGTAATTTCAAAGACTGCTCCTGCCAGGGGCTTTGCTTTGAGGACCTCGAGCGGGGTGTCGTGACGCGCGGTGGTCACATACATGACGTCGTACGCAGGGCCGCCCCAACACATCGACGTGATGTTCAGAGCAGGCATCTCCACAGTGCGCACCACAGCTCCATTCATGGGGTCAATGCATGAAATCTGCGAGCATGAATGAAAAATAGAAAATTACTAGGCAATTGAAATATTCAGCTAATAGAAGTACAATATAGAGGTAATATAATAGAGTTGCTTTGTATTCCTATACTTGGAACAGCATAAAATTCTTGTCGGCTCATGTTGAAGCTGATTGTCGAAAACGGTGAGAAATAAAAATATATTTTTACAAAAAAGTTTTTATGAAAAAAACACAATGTTCTAAAAACGTTTTTTGTTATAATTTTTATCAAAAACGTTTATGAAAACGTTTTTTATCGATCGCTCCATGATCGATAGCTCCACCTTGTAGAGATATACTGGTACGTTGGTGGAGTACTTTTCTCAATTCTCTCGGTGTGAACGACATTTTTCTTAATCTATCTGTAGGATCAGTCAAGAGCATGTATGTTTTTTCTGCTTAGCTAATTTTAAAATAAAACCACATTCCTGCCTAATAACATTTTTGAAGGAACAAACTTAAAACTTTGAACATGTAGCAGGTACCTAATGAGAACCGTTCATGAATACTGAACACTAAAGGAAGCTTCATGGTCAGCTGACAGAGATACACGCCGATGTTGCATCAAGAATTTAATAACTCTGAACTTTGATCCAAGATCGTCAGAACAAAAAGAGTTTGATGGCTTGCCTTCATTATTACTTCTTGTGATTGAATTGTAATACGTAGGAATACTGGCAGAGTTGTATCACTTTCTCAAGGCCTAACTCGCGACACGCGTTTTGAGGTAGGGAGCGCCTTTTCTACGCCATAGGCGTCCGAGTCAGCGACTCAACTTCGCTATAAATGTGTACAACCGCGTTTTGCACTACTTACAGTGCATGCAACATAATTCATTTGTGCAGACTAAATGAAGTCCACATCAAACACCTAACTATAGTCGTGTATGTATCTATAGAAACGGATATTTTCAATTATAATACAGCACTACGTTAACGGTATTGAGAGAAATGCATAGCTGAATTATATTCAACAGTTTTTAAATCACACTTATAAATCAATAATGAGACTTGATACAATGAAATGAGCAACAATGTTGAGTTTGAATAAATGGGCAAGTATGCTGAATTATTGGGTCTGAGAATCATCAATGTCTGGAAATCGTTAAACATTCGTAGAAAACGATTTGCTGGAGTAACTCAAGGAAATATATATACATACATTGCTGAAGATTCCTAGGACGTGGAGAAAAATGCTGGCCCGAGGAGCGAAAATTCCAATAATCTTCGGGGGAAAATGTTGCAACCCTTTAAGTGATTTGAGAATATGTAGAATATACAGAATGTTATTCGTCAAAATTGAGAATGAGAATCATATCGGTTAACACGATTGCCTCGGAATCGAATGCTCTGACAGTCTTCCAATGGTCATAAGTCTTTTCGCTATAAATTTGTACAACCGCGTTTTACACTACTTACAGTGCATGCTACATAATTCATCTGTGCAGACTAAATGAAGTCCACATCACACAGTACAGACCTAACTATAGTTGTATATATATCTATATAAATGGATATTTCCAATTATTATACAGCACTACGTCACGGTGTTGAGAGAAATGCATAACTAAATTATATTTAACAGTTTTTAAATCACACTTGTAAATCATTAATGAGACTTGATACAATGAGATGAGCAACAACGTTGAGTTCGAGTAAATGGGTAAGTATGCTGAATTATTGGGCCCGAGAATCATCACCACTGAGAGAATAACCACTGGGCCGAGGGTGGCCCAGTGGTTAAAGTTCAGAAGTGCGCCAGCTTCTGGTCAGAATCGGCAAAAAGGCCGGGCGGTTAAGCACAGCAGAATTGTAGCAGTGAGTTGCGAGACCGCAACAAGCTGTGAATGTTCTGTGATGTTAAGAATCGGCGACAGGCCTACGGCCTAATAAACGCTGACACCGCTATTATTATAAAGTCTGGAAATCGTTAAACATTCGTAGAAAACGATTTGCTGGAGTAACTCAAGAAAATATATATACATACATTGCTGAAGATTCCCAGGACGTGGAGAAAAATGCTGGCCTGAGGAGCAAAAATTCCAATAATCTTCGGGGGAAAATGTTGCAATCCTTAAAGTGATTTGAGAATATGTAGAATATACAGAATTTTATACTTTTTAAGCAATTTTTTAATTGAGAATGAGAATCATATCGGCTAACACGATTGCCTCGGAATCGAATGCTCTGACAATCTTACAATAGTCATAAGTCTCACAGGTGTCATAGATTTTTAAACGCATCCAGCAGGTTTAAATTTGCCATGAACAGTGAGTAGCCAGCACATTAAAAGATCGTAATGTTACAAATGAATGAATAAATTGAGTCATGTTGGTGAATTTAATGATGTTCGCTGGACGTCAAATGTGAGCTGTTCAGCAGACGATGAAGTCACAGGAACGCTATATACTGCAGATGGTAACGGCAGACGTGCGGTACTCAACTGTGTGAACATGCTTGCATGCGCTCGTTATGGTTGTGAGATCACAATCTTGCAAGGATAAGAATTGTTCACGCAGTGAGGTTCACAGTCTACGGTGACGCTGTGGCATTCCAGACGTTACATAATATATAGCGGTTCCAGCGTTTATTAGGCCGTAGGCCTGTCGCCGGTTCTTAACATCGCAGAACATCCACAGCATGTTGCGAGCTTGAACTTGCAACTAACTGCCTCAAATTTTTTTTTTTTTTTTTCTTAACCGCCCGGCCTCCTTGCCGATTTTGACCAGAAACTGACGCACAGAGCTGGGATCGAACCCGCGCCTCTCTGTTCCAATCTTGGTACTCTGAACTTTATCCAACGAGCCACCCTGTGGAGCGCAGCCGTGCACCACCAATTTTGTGCACCAATAAGCCCTGAATTGAACGACTTGGATATCTCCGGATATCCACCAATCAGCCGTGAACCACTGCTTTGTCTTCCTCCGGCCTCGCATAGAACCTGCCGTGCACAGCCAGGCCGCGGATCGAATCTGACTTCCAGGCATCGTTAAATTACGTAATTTTACGTTCACCGCATCTGAGGTTAGGTTTCAGATGGCATAATTATGTTCCAAAATTTATCGTCCTTCGACGCGTGGCCGTTCGAGCGAGGGCTGGTTCGACCCACGGCCTAGATACGGACGGCTTGAAGTGTTGAAGGCTACGTTCCGGAAGGCAGGAATCATGATGGTCCATTACATCCAGGGCAGTGGTGGTCTTCGGCAGGCGACCCCCACCCAGCCCGTTCATATGAATGAATTTTCCAGAATCGTGTTCTCTGATTCGGTCTTTACAACATTTATATATCTTTCAATCACAACACCGGTCCTAATCTTGTTGATAATTAATAACTATGCTTTACGTGATTTTCCTAGACTGGAAGTGATCTTCAGCACCAATTGTCATTTTAATTTTTGATTGGTTGAGACTTTTTCGAGTGCTTTCACTTTCTGAGCTTTAGCGCTAGGTAGTAGTTTTTCTCACTTTGCAGTAGGGAATATCAAGTAGTAAATCAAAATTTTTAATGAAATCAGTTTTGTTTGAACAATATTCTGCCATCATGCTGCTTCTCAATTCTCAATATTTCACATAATAAGTTTTTTATTTAATGCACTTCATGCAGTTTGAAACATGGGATTGATGCCAATTCCCGAAGAGAGGTAAATCTCTGTGTAATTATATCATAATTAGTAGAATTAACAGAAGCTCTCAACAACACATATTTAACAGCGTTCGAACAACACATACATAATGATATTTTGGTAAGTAAGTAACTATTAATACCGAACAATCTCTTAAATACTAATATACGGACAAAAAACGCACTCTTGTCATAAAAGTTTACTGGCCATTGGAGCTGATATTAATCTCTCTATATGAGCCATTCATAGCTGCCTTGGTGCTGCCTTCGCCACAAGAGGGAGGATGGTGATAGAGAGAAACCCCACGAGGCAGCTAGGGGAACAGCAACAAGGAGAAAGGTTGGAGTGGGCTAGCGGGGAAATAATCTTTGTGTGAGGAAAAGATGGGAGAGGCGCCCAGCGCCAGATTCCCTGGGTATGGATATTCCTCACGGAGGAATGGGGGGCTGGATGAAAGTACGAGTCAGAAGGGTGGGCTCTACGGGGAACAGAGATCCTACGTTGGAAATGAAAGCTTCTTGAGGGCGAGGTCCTGTGTATGGGCGAGGAACTACGTAGGGGAGGGGCTATGAGCAGCGCCTCGCAGCAGGTCGCGGTGGAAGGCATCAATGGCGGCCAGTTGAGCGTTGCCCAACCAAACGTGAGGTCGTGTCAGAGTGAGTTGCTCCACCGCCTGCTGGGGGGCCAGCCCGTAAACCTGGGGGAGGGAGACGCTGGTGAGATAAAAGGTTTTTATACTGAAGGTACACTACCTGCTGAGTAATTAACCAGCTTTCAGGAGGCAATAGAGGACTGTTAATGATGTTCAGATTTTATAATTTATTAAATTATATATCAAAAATTATGTCAGCAGTGACATGTGTTTCTTGGCATGTTTAATCTAAATAAAGGAGAAGACCCTACACAAAAGGAGGAGAAAGAAGGAAGAGGGCAGCAGCACCTGCATTCGCTTCGCGTCCTGCCCGCCTTGCAGTGTACGTAGACACGCCCACAGTTACTGTTGTTCTTGCCAGTGTTGCTGTTGCTGTTGTTGCCGTCGGTGCTGGCGTCAGCATCTGAATGAAGAATCATATTGTAATATACAACTAATTTGGTGACAACATAGAAATGTTTGAGAAGGTAGAGTAGCAGTCGGGCTGTCGAGGCGCTCACTAACGCGGCGGGGCGCTCACTAACGCGGCGGGGCGCTCACTAACGCGGCGGGGCGCTCACTTAAATCCACCAATCATAGACAAGAAAATAGAGCGTAAGTACTCACGTTCACTTAGCGAGTTTTGAAACTATGGCCCCTGGGCATTCTCTAGGGGGTGCTGCTGAAGTGGGAGGAGGGAGCATTAACTAAGACAGGAGTGCAACAGGTGGTAGAGGGGTAAGTTATTGATAGAGGAACGCTCACTTAAGGGTCGAGGCTGCAAGATGAAAGCCACGCCTCTGTGCAGTTTTTCCAGGCTGGGGGCCTCAAAGATATCCGTTGTGCTCAGCTGGAGGAACTCCACCCCGTGACTCCCCCACTCCTGAGCGGAGGGGGTGAGAAGGAGTTCGTAGTCTTCATTCATGGAGACCACAGCACGCACCCCCTGCTCGTCCACCAGCTGTGGGGGAGGGAAGGGGGACTTTTGGGCAACGCAGAATATTCTCTTGCAAGGCACCACTACTGATATGGATGACACCAATCATCCAATATTATTCTTGTAAATATCTACATATAGTGATACATTACATTGATTAGTGATATGCAACGATAGAATACAATTAAACGCCAGCGTAGTGAAGATTATACTAGACAAGCTATCCACTATCCAAACTTTTACAGCCTCCACAAAACCCATCCAGTTAAGCCCCAATATAATAAGCCAGTAACCTTCTCATCCATTCATCCCCATATATACCTGCCAACCAGTCCTCTCAAGCATCCAACCAACCCTTCCCCTCCTCCCACCTCCCGGGCCATGCTCCTGAAGGGCAGCGCCCCCAGCAGGACGCGCTCGTCCACGGCGCTGTACCAGGTCCTGGCGGTGACCCTCTCGAGCAGCAGGTTCAGTGCCAGCGTCGGCAGGAAGGAGAGGCGAGCAAACACTCGCCCCATCCTAGGGTGGGTAGAATAGTTGAGCAAAACTGATAAATCAGCGAGTCGTGGGTTCGAACTCTGGCTAATTATATGTTTACGAATCCTAAGTTCAAGCAGACGGTATACCAGCACACGGCACACCACTAATGCCACTGACATGAAGCTGTAAGGGCGCAGCTCCTTTATTTGAAATCCTGATTTCAAGGACCAATTCTTGCGACCCTATTGTTCGGGACTTATTTTAGAGCCCCAAACAATAAGGGCAGGCGACGCCATTGTTAACAGCTGCTCTCTGACATGGCCGCCCTTTGAATATTGTGATGCATATTGTGATGTTTATATGGTGATGTATATCACTTGTGTACATTGTGTGACGGAACTCAGGGTACAATTTTTGTTAGCATAAATATTCAGAAAGCAATAAGCATTAGTTGTGACTGCTAATTATGTCTGTCAGTTTATGGCATCAGAAAAAAGCACATACTAATGATACAGTACTGTGAATACTATATTCATTAAAAAAACCTTATAAATTTAGATTATCTATGAAGAGAATTCTTATTTTATATGCCACTTGCGCACGGCACAGCTGAAATAATCATCACATTACTCATCATGCCACGCACAGCTACATGGCATCATGCCACGCACAGCTCCGTGGCATCATGCCACGCACAGCTACATGGCATCATGCCACGCACAGCTCCGTGGCATCATGCCACGCACAGCTCCGTGGCATCATGCCACGCACAGGTCTGTGGCATCATGCCATGCACAGCTCCGTGGCATCTGTCTCTTATACACATCTAGATGTGTATAAGAGACAGCAATTTAACGTGAATAATAGGCTATAAATGGGACTTTTTATATATAAATATATATATATATAAAATATTCATTTTACATAACTTTACAACTGCATTACGCAAAAACTATTGCATGAACATCCATGGTAGTAGCTTCTGTCTCTTATACACATCTAGATGTGTATAAGAGANTACCGTACAACTGTCTCTTATACACATCTAGATGTGTATAAGAGACAGTGAGAAGGGGGGGCTCACCTCAGAGGCTTGAGCCCAGAAGACATGGCAGGAGGTCTGGGCTACAGAAGTGCAGAAGTCTGAGCAGAATTCATTTCAGAGATCTGTGCAGATGCAGGAGGTGCAGGAGGAAATGTTCTACACATAAGATTATCCCAAAAACTCCAATGACTTAATAATAATAATAATAATAATTATGTCATCCACATGATATACAGGGTTTATTCAAAAAGAATCATCATTCAATTTCGAATCTCTTAATATTAAACATCATTAAAAATTACAAAATACAATTTTTTGCCTGTAAGGGAAACCCCACAATTTGGATCATTTTTAATGTGTTCAATCAGTCCATATTAAAGTGCCCAGCCTATGTCTTTTAATATGCAATATGTAAGTCTAATTTGCCCCAACTGAGTTACCAACTCTGCTGCTGTTTGTTACACAATGCCTTGCACTGCCCATTCTTTTTGCTAACATAGGCTCAAAAATGCAGTCTTTTAATAAATTCCTACATTGAATTAGGCTGGACATTTATTACTGAGTTGAACTCCAAAAATTTTTGGACACAAAATGCATTATTTGGTTCAGATGCCATCTTCAGACAAGTTTGCTGCTGCTAAACCATGCAAAGCTTGACAGCTTTGTATTTCCAACAACACCTTGTTGATACATGTAGCAATAGTGACAAAACAGTTATGATTTCATGAAGCAGGATGATTCATTTTCATATACCCTGTATATAGTGAACATTTTACCTTACATATATCATCCACTTATACAAAATTCCCCAATATGACTACATTATCAACTTGATGTATAAAATCACCATTATAACTAGACCATCAGCATAATATATGAAGTCACTGTTTCCACTACATCATCCACACACATAATTTCAGCTTTATAACTACATATTCTACATGATAATATCACCTTTATTTCTACACCAACCACATGATATATAATCATATCACCACAACATCATCAGAATGATATATAGTCACCATTACCTGCTGGGTAGGAAAGCGGTTCTGGTTGCCAAATTGCTCAACTGTCACTGTGTACTTCCACCCAGCAGTTCACTTCAATATTTAAATCTTCACATGCATAAAATTATAGAGTTTTTTATTTATAAAGCATTAATTCCCTGTTGATAAAAAAAGGTTGCATTAATAATACATAGCCCAGATTATGGTGCACATTAATTTATATGTCCAATAAAATATTATGTTATAAATTGAAAAAGGTCTCTAGGGAGGCAAGCTGACCTTCAAAGTCCATCTAAGTCTATTCAAGCTTATTAAATTTTTTATAATTTCTTATAAGTTTTATCAATTGATTAAGTTTTATCAATTGATTAAGTTTTGTCCATTGATTTCTTTTGAGTATCCTATATTTTTACATTTCTTCAATTTATTTCAAGTTCATTCAATTATTTTCACATAGCTGTCAATCTCATCAAGTCCCCAGTTTATTCAGAAAGGAAGAAATACAAGGCATGATTATAATTATTAAAAAATCTCTCACTACCCTTATTCTGCCCATATTTTCCTACTGGTCATTGATATGCTTTTTAAACAAGTAATAATCTAGATATCTTAGCCCTGATCATCATGAGTGTAAATATTATGCCATACAAAGCTCCAACATATTGAAAGACATTTGATTCACCCAAACAAGGACATTCTAGGTACTGTTTCTGAGTAGGGAGGTCATGTCACAGGTAAAATAAACTTGTCACCTTATTTCACTGAGTTTAGTTAGACAATCAAGGTAAAAGTGAAGATGAATCAAGTACAGGTTCTATTAAATGATCATTTTCAAATGCATTCAAGAACAGACTAGACAAGGCCATGCAGGAGCATATGTTTAGTATTGAAATGCTTTGTATCCTACAGAACAACTGAAATCTTGAAGCAATTTTAAACCTACCGTCCATTGAAAAGATTTGATCTAAAGGCAATTCTAATCAAGAAAAGTACAAGAATCAGCGACAGGCCTACCCAGGCCTATTCTTCAATGCCAAAGATACTATACTATACTATACTAAATAATACATAACACAGTGTTTGAATTAAAGAGAAAATGTTGAAATTATTCAATCTTTGATTTATATGGGCCTTTGTAAATAGAATAGAAGTGTCGGCACTGAAGAAATAGGCCGTCTATTTAGGTCTGTTGCCGATTCTTGAATTTTTTGTGACTTGATTCACAAGGGATCTGGCCTTTGGAACCCGATCTTTCCATAACTGACGATTGATCGAGATAGCTGCTGGACTTATTGCCTGGTCCGTAATTTGCTAGGCATTTTGAGACTGAACATATGCTCCTGCATAGCTTTTAACAAAGTAAGCTAAACATTGATCAATCCGTAAAAAAATTACTTGGAGGAGGCCCTTTCTCACTCGAGTCACAGGTGAAGGTAATCAAAACCACCACAGACTACCTTTTAGAAATTAATGCCTCAAGCAAATGTAGCTTACTAAATAAAGTTTACTATATTTGACCTATCTCAATGCTGTTCATTTGTCTTATTGAACTTCTACCTGTAATCTCTAACAATCATGAGCAACTACAAATAGCTCTCTGTGGAACTAACTTCATCCTAACATTCAACAAATGCACCACTTGGTGCATCCCTGTGTTTAAGTATAGGTGCTCTGTGCAGATCAATTAAATACTGTAATGACAGCTTATCTGGGCTGTTATCCTGATATTTTTTCCAATGACAGGAGATTACTGAGACAATGACAGACATGACTTAGGACCTCAATGAGGTCCTCAGTCATGTCTGCATTGGAGGTGCCAGGAGGACAGCAGAGTTAGGTTGGCTGGCAGAGATTAAGGAAGTTATGGGGTTGGGGACCTGATAAGGAGCTGGATCTGGACAAATAGTGTGGCAGTGGAGGCAGGTTGGGAGCAATCTAATTGCAGGGTCTCTCTGGTTAGTTCAGTGACAATTTTTGTTATATTTGACTTATCAGTTTTGGTACAGAGGGCAATAATCTTCGACATGAGTTCAATAAATTCAGTTAGAGTGAGACTCTGCAGCGTAGAAGTTGCAGGGTCATTGGTCAGTGTTCCACTGGTCACAGTATTGATTGCCTGAGGATGTGTAGATTTAACTTTCTGAGCCCAGGTTTTGAATTCAGCAGTTGGAGTGGAAGATAGAGGAGAGTCAGGAGACTGACAGATATTTGTACCAGAACTTAAGACCTCATTGATTTGCCAAACATTTTTTTTAGACAACTGCTTCACCATCTTCATGGCATCATGATAGGAGACTCTCAGCTCATCCCTGGTTTTCTCCACAGCCTGGGCCTCCTTCATGAACCTACATCCCCCATAGTTAGCAGTGTGCTGGCCACCACAGGTGCAAAAGAGGGGGGCTTCCTTTTGCTGAACAGTCTTTCCCATTGTGTGCACCACTGCATGGGGCATTTTTGCAACTAATGGCATTGTGGTGATATATTTGACATTCAAAACACTGCCAAGGCTTGGCAATGTAGGGGCTTACTTGGAAGCGCTGATACTCGAGGTAAATGAATGCTGCCAGTGTGGTTGAGTTGAACGTGACTTTAAACATTGGTGTCTTTGTTTTCTCTTTCCTTTTCAGAATTCTTTCTGGAGTGGCATCGCTGTGTCCAGGTCCAGCAAGAACTAAAGCCTCACCAAGGTCCTCATTCAAGACATCTTCACCCAGCAGTCCAATGACACCAACAGATCTAACAAGATTGGCAGGAAGGTGACACTTTATGGTCCATGATGCAAGTCAATTGAAAGGATTGATAGGTATTCAACAAAGAGGCCATCCCAGTTCCGAGCTCCCTCTTAATGGTAACAACAAGAATTTTGCAGCCAAGATTCTTGCTAAACCCAGCAATGCCTGCTCTGCCAAAAGGTGAGTCAGCCAGGGTCAGATCATAATCATTTGAGAAGAATTCATCAACTGGATGGGTCTCTGCAATTGGCTCAATGATAATGACTTTTCCAAACAAGTTAGGAGCAGCAGACTCTGTCTCCTGGATAGGTTTGACAGAGACTCTAAGGTTGGTGATAGTTTTAGTGACAGCAGTTCTTTGAGCAGGAGTCAGCAGGCTCTCACCATGGTCAGGAAGATGTGCCAGGTGCGCGGGAATTTATTTTGTCATTTTAACGACCTGCGCAGTGCGCCGTACTATGCTGGTAAAAAATGCACCGTGCGCCGTACTTTAGAAAGCTAAAATAGTTCTACTATTTTAGTCGACAATATACGCGAGTATATTGACTACGCGAGTAGAACTGACAATAATAAAATGTAAGACATGTCCGGGTTACTTCTGACTCTTCCGCTTGTCCGCCTTGTCGGATAAGGAACGTACGGTAATCGTAAACTGCGGCTATTATACATAAGAAATGTAAACAGACGGTGTAGGTGTTCAGTGTTGCCATATGACTTTGGAGAAAATTTCTTCTAAAATAAAGTTCTAGACACGTTGGTTAACTAAATACTTGACTGAATCTTGATCATTACAAACAAAAGGCCTGGAAAATTAAAAAAATCCATCAAATAAAAGACAAAAAATATCTATCAAAAAAGAGACATCTAAATAATTCTTTTACAAATCTAATGTACTAGTTTAAAATTGAAACATTTTGTCCACAGTCCACTTTTGATCCACCTTTTCATTTATAGTCACCTAGTCATTCACTTGGCAAAGCTGCCAGAGCACTGTGGCAATGGGAAAGCTTTTTAGCTTGGATGGAAAGCTTTTTAATAAGTGAACTTCCATTCTTAAAATTCCAGCCTGATCATCGTACATGTGTAACGTTGGAGACTCTGGATTTTTTAGAAGTGTTGCCTTTAAAAAGTAATTTTTAAACGCATATTATTTTATTATTAGTCATTATTAATAGTTGAAAAGTGTAGTCTTGAAATACCAATTGTTCCAACTTCTCTTCCAGTTTCTCTTCGAAGAGCTGGTGCTTCAGAATCATTTCAGCGACGTCAGTTGTGCGCAGTTTCAGTTCGACATGACTAAAGCTTTGTTTCCAATGTTCATCAAATTCACTGGCAAACCAGAGTACCATTTCCCAATGTATCGAGACATTTCATTATGATAGTATTTCATCATTGCATTAAGTGGTTTTTTCAAACATGTACATTTGGGTGCAAGTTAGTACCTAATTAGCATACTAAGCAATTTTGGCAAGATGTTTAAAGATAAGTCATCTTTGTGATGAAATGTTAAGGTAATGAAATGTCTCGGAAGATTACATATCAGGGAACCTCTATGCCGAATGAGATATGCTGTGCCTGGGTGTGCCGAGTGTGGTCTGGTGTATCGAGGGTTGTCTGATATGCCGAGTGTGATGTAGTGTGCTGTGCATTTTTAAACAAAGTGTGTAGTGTGCTGTGCACACTACACACTACTAACTGTAGCGATCGGTGTGGTGTGATGTCCCTGGGTGTGGTGTGCTTGGTTATGTTATAATGAGCTTCTATGGTTCATTGTGCTTATAAATGAAGAACTTTTTTTCGTGGTTGATTTTGTGACGCATGATTTGTATTTTCTGACGTAATTTGTTTGTGGGCAGCAAATAGTGCAAGGCCCCGTGCGGGGCATGACGTGCGAGTAGGAGGTGCGTTGTACGTCCATCTNAGTGCAATAAATAAATAGGACCTAGCAATAATAAAATAATAATAGCTAATGATTTTGTCACAACGAGGCTATGCAATCACCAACGAAACATCTTGAGTTGACTCATTAGTCATTAACTGTCATTATGCAGGATATTTGGGTTTGAATGGTAGCTACTGAACTGTCCAAGCTAAAATTTTTGTGAAATTACATCTGTGTGAACAATGATTTCTTCAATCAAACAAAGATACATTATACACAAGCACTGCAAGATTCCACACCTACTGAAATTGTGTGATATTAGAGCTGTGATATTTCTGAAAAGAAGAAGGACTTCTCCCAAGTAGCTCATTCCTAAGGCTTTTTCCTAATTTCTTCAGTAAAAATAAGAATAAAGCCATTGTCACTTGCAATTTATTAAAGTCACATGAGGAACAATTTTTACCTGCAATTCTAAGATAGTTATGTCTAATATTTCAGTTTTTTGCAGATTCTGTAACCAGACTTTTTTTGCACCATTTTGTAGAATGGTAGTACCTAATCCAGTTAGGTATGCTTATTTGGAATATTAGGCAGATTGGCATAATTTTCCTTCAACGAAGGGTAAAAGCAATCATTTCACACATGATTTTAAAAAATTGCATGTTAAAATAAGCCTTATTTTTTATTGAATAAATTTGGAATGGGTAAAATGGGTAAAATTGGCCAGATTCACAGGCACTTTTGCCCAATTTTCTGCTTCAAAGGACTTGATATCAAACTTGAAGAATAGTTCTAAAAAATTTCTTCTCTGCCACATGGCATGAACTATATTTACTTTTTGAACCTCAAGTCCTGCTAGTAGAGCTATCATGCCATTCCTAAAGCCATAGTGGCAAACCAGAGATTTTTTAGAATCAGTTCATTTTTAATTTCCTCATTTACTCAAGATTTAAGCTTATTTCCTACAAGACTTAAAAATGAACTTGAGGGAGTCTAAAAAACTCTCTGCTTTGCTACTATGCTTAAAGGCACAAGATTCCTGCTAGACGAATTATATCCTGCCATGATTAATTGCAAATGTATGTAAAGAGCAGTTAACCTCAGAGCATTGTGCCACATATTATTTAACTTTTCTTCATCAGTAATAGAATATATTCAACATTTCAGAGAGATTTTGTCAATATAACAGCATTTTCAGGTATTGAAGTTTGCATCCTAGCACAAAAATTAGATTATAAAACTGAAATAATATTTCCTAGCATTGAAATTTTTTTTGACATGAATATTTTTTGCTTAATATCAGTGTAAATTATGTAGAAGCACTCAAGGCCTAATCAATATTATCTTTATTTTCAGTAAAGTGGTGCTTCCTCTCACAGTGGAGGAGGTGAGTTCACTTAGAGCTGCTAGGACATTTCTGAGTGATCATTAGACCTCATAGCAGCTAGTGGACTACACGTCATGTCCTATATTGTAAAGCATAAGACAGAACTGGGCACTGCAGATATTGCTGACAAATTATAAAGACTTAATCTTTTGTTCATGAAGCTTGGTAACTTGACTATAGTATAAGTCACTTTAATTTTGCTCCTCCCTGCCCCAATCCCCACTCTAATTCTACTCCATCCCCTGCTCCACTCCCCACTCTAATTCTGCTCTACCCCTGTCCCACTCCCCACTCTAATTCTGCTCCACCCCCTGTCCCACTCCCCACTCTAATTCTACTCCATCCCCTGCTCCACTCCTCACTCTAAATCTACTCCATCCCCTGCTCCACTCCCCACTCTAATTCTGCTCCACCCACTGTCCCACTCCCCACTCTAATTCTGCTCCACCTCCTGTACCACTCCCCACTCTAATTCTGCTCCTTAACTTCAAAATTTGCTTGCATTTTTTCTATTGCACATTTTGGATCTAAGTATCACTGCAGTGCCATCAATCATGTCAGAAAGAATACATAATAGATTACCTATAATTATATTTATAATCAAGTTGAATGGTTTACTTCAGTAGAATTTCTGGATTGTCTAATGTCACCAACTCTCCTTCCAATCCTAAAATGTTTGAAGTCCTATCAAATTACCAAGAAAAGGCTCAATTAGGTCTTGAATTTTATTTCTATCGTGCCGATATCATTATGAAAAAACACATTTGAACTTTATTCCTCATGTTTGAAGCTGATTGACAGGCAGTTTTTGCAAGTTCATTATTATTTCAACTCTGATAATTCTCATGAAGTTTGAATGTGAACAAACAACTGGATAATTAGTAAATTTACAGTTTTATAGAATTTGGAATTCAAATAATTACAAAATTCTCTTATAAATGTCCTTTGCTGAGGCATCTACAATCTTTCTTGTGTATTTCAGTATCAAGTGGGGCAGCTGTACAGCGTAGCTGAGGCAAGCAAGAATGAAACTGGCGGGGGTGAGGGCATCGAGGTGCTCAAGAATGAACCGTACACAGACCATCCTCTGCTTGGCGGCAAATACACTTCTGGCCAGTACACTTATAAGATCTACCATCTGAAGAGGCAAGTGTCAGTACACTTATAAGATCTACCATCTGAAGAGGCAAGTGTCAGTACACTTATAAGATCTACCATTTGAAGAGGCAAGTGTCAGACAATCCTTCATGAACTTCCAACAAGGTTCATTCTATGAACTTCATTTTCTTGCTATCAAACAAGGTCATTTCGTTCGGGAAGTTGCTTGTCATTTTTTGACTATTTTTTTCTATACTTGCCTTGCTTGACTATTTGTCTCTTTTCTATTCTACATTGTTGAATTAGTTATTTGTCAACCAGAATTAAAAAATCCCTGAATACTTTTTTTATGCCCCAGTGTTTATTGAAATTTCCTGATAAAAATAGCTGTTTGTGACTAACAAGATGGATCTTTATTTTTGCTATTTCAGTAATAATAGTGTTGACGCAGAGACTCTTATTATATATAGCAAAACTCTTTATTTTCCACTGTAGCTATTTGTGAGAGTCTTCCTCTATGAGCATCTCAGTTGTAGAACAAGAAAGATTATAATTTAAATTCAATTGATCAACTGAATCAAACACATCAACTGGAAGCTGCCAAAATTTGTTCCTGTTTTTGCACAATTTAGCTGGACAAAATAAATGATCTCTGCTAGGTTGCTGCAGTAATTTCTGTACAATGTACATCTGTTATTTGGTGTGCAGCAAAGTAAGAGGCAAGTGTCAGTACACTTATAAGATCTACCATTTGAAGAGGCAAGTGTCAGTACACTTATAAGATCTACCATTTGAAGAGGCAAGTGTCATTACACTTATAAGATCAACAAGGTTCATTCTATGAGCTTAATTTTTTTTTGCTGTCAAACCAGGTATTTCATTCAAGATTTAGCTTGTCGTGCTTGGCAATTTTTTTATATGCTCGCCATGCTTGACATGTGATCTTTTCCTATTTTTGCCATTGGTAAGTGAGTTATATGTTGACCAATCATTGTATAATTTTTTGATACCCTGGTGTTTTATTGAAATTTCCTGATAAAAATTGCAGTTTGTGAATAATATCTGGATTCTTTTCTGCTATAATGCTGAGGTCTTGCCCTGGGAGCATCTCAGTTGTAGAACAAGATTGATTATAATTTAATTGCAATTGATCAACTGAATCAAGAACACATCAACTGAAAGCTGCCAAAATTTCTTCCTTATTTGCACAATTTAGCTGGACAAAATGTAAGATCTCTGCTAGGTTGCTGCAGTAATTTCTGTACAATGTACATCTGTTATTCGGTGTGCAGCAAAGTTCCAGCATTCATCCGCATGATGGCGCCTGAAGGTTCCCTGGAGGTGCATGAGGAAGCCTGGAATGCCTACCCATACTGCAAGACTGTCATCACGGTCAGTTGCTCTGCCTGTATGTCTTATTGTGCAGTTAATGCACTTGTTAGTTCATCATGTGCTGACGTGATGCCTCTTACAGGCTAGTCTCAAGTATGCCCTTGAAAAATGTGAACTTTTTCTTGATTATTTTTCAAGACTTGACATTTCAAAAATATATTTTTTATTACAATCAATTTCCAAATTATCAAGTGATTTTTATTCTTTCACATGACCAATTTTTACCCAAAATTTCCTTTCCTCGTGTCAGATTTAAAGTGAATTCCTGATCATATATTATTTGTGAAAGTTTAAACTATGAACAAGAATACATGAACATATTATGTTTTACTTCCTTCCATTCAGGCTAGCAGCTCAGCTGCCAATGTTAAGTTTTCAAATATCAATTATCAAGCTTCTATTTATTGTTATAACTTCACTATGTCTTTATTTATCCAGGTATTCCTGATGTCACTCAAACCCTTCTGTCTGACCTAAGGGGTCTGAAATATTGTGTGGATCCCTCCCATCTTTTCCAGAGCTCTTGGGGATAATCTTCATTTGATTCTAATTCCCCAGAATCCAGGCTACATGAAAGAAAGCTTATTTAATCTCCATTTGATTCTTTCAATTCTAATTCCCCAGAATCCGGGCTACATGAAAGAAAGCTTATTTAATCTCCATTTGATTCTTTCAATTCTAATTCCCCAGAATCCAGGCTACATGAAAGAAAGCTTATTTAATCTCCATTTGATTCTTTCAATTCTAATTCCCCAGAATCCAGGATACATGAAAGAAAGCTTTCATATCACCATAGAGACGCTTCACGCTCCTGGTAAAGGTGAACTGACTAACGTGAGTGCAGCAAATGCATGCATACACAAATACAACTCTTTCTTGTGGACGTTTTTTTGTATAACATTTCTTTTGTATGTACAAGCTTCTCGTGATACTCATTTGCTGTAGGTATTTAAATACGCTGCATTATTTCTTCCAGCAGCGGCAGCAGTAATGCTTGCTGCTCGTCTGGCTTATTTCAGTTTGTGCGTGCTGTAAAATGTATTTTTAACTGAATAAAGTTTTTTGTCTATGTTTTGACATTTAGTTTGCACAAAATGTACATGAATTGCCGTTTTGTCCGTGTTTTGAAGCATGTGAAAATGTTGCTTAATATTTTCCTCGTAGCATACAGTATTGTGCATGTGGACATCACTTGTATGTATCACATTTGGACCTGTTAACCTGCTACCCAATAAGCATTTCTTGTATATTTACCTCAGGTAAATTAATTATTATTAATTATTTTTATTGCCAACTCTTTTACGGAGGACAGGCTGCTGTACAGTTTTGCCGTGGCTGCATGCTTACTAACTTCCTCTCTTTCCAGTTCTCTTGGTTTGCTCGATTTTGTGTTGATTTTGCAGCATGTTTTATGACGATGCAATTTACTTACAATCCTCTTCCAATGGTCCTGTTTCTCATAGGATCCTTGTTTGATGGAACTTGGCAGCAAAATTTTGATTCCTGTTGTCCTTGGTTTTGAATTTTTTTTCATATCCTGGCACATATTCAGGCGAAATAATTTTTTTTAAACATCAATTAAGTTGTGGCTTGTTGTTTGCATGCTCTCCCTCCTTTAAATCGTACCAGTTGCACGTCCCAGGTAGAAGCTGCAGAATATCGTTTTAATTTATTTGCATGGAGCAACATGAAGCTTTATGTCAAGTATCACAGTTTATTATTAAATGGTTTGCTTGCTTGTGTTGGCTGAATCTCAGAACCCTGGATACATGAAGGAGAAGTTCACCATCACGGTGGACACTCTGCACCTCCCTGGCAGAGGAGAGCTCGAAAACGTGAGTGACAGCACTACCGTAACTGGTGGATGACGGAACCCTGTGTGCTGCTAGTGGCAGCACGGCTGTAACTGGTGGATAACAGCAGTCTGAGTAATATGCCGCTAGTGGCAGAACGGCTGTAACTGGTGGATAACAGCAGTCTGAGTAATATGCCGCTAGTGGCAGAACGGCTGTAACTGGTGGATAACAGCAGTCTGAGTAATATGCCGCTAGTGGCAGAACGGCTGTAACTGGTGGATAACAGCAGTCTGAGTAATATGCCGCTAGTGGCAGAACGGCTGTAACTGGTGGATAACAGCAGTCTGAGTAATATGCCGCTAGTGGCAGAACGGCTGTAACTGGTGGATAACAGCAGTCTGAGTTACCGGCTGCTGCAATTCAATGAATGCCAGTTTGCCTTGCCACATTTCTCAATGAGTTGACACTCGTATTAAAATTCAGACACCCACATGCTGTCAGTGGCATGTAATTTCTGCTGATATTGTACCCCATTTTACCTAATTACATGGAATTACATGGAATACTTAATGAACTTTTCTACAATTGAAAATGTTTAAAATTTTTTAAAGTTGACACTGTCACTATAAGTATCAGGCTCGAGCAATAACATTGAAGCTTCTTTCATTTGAAACCTACCATTATAATCATGCCTCTCACTACTGAGCTCGACTTCAGACTTCCAGTACATTTATTATGAGGACTATAGTTACTGAGAACTTAGAAGTCGTGGTGCTAGGGTGAGTATCCTGCACTCAGCGCTAGTGAAGAAGTGTGCTGGTGAGACGTCGTGGNAAGCAATAACACTGAAGCTTCTTTCATTTGAAACCTACCATTATAATCATGCCTCTCACTACTGAGCTCGACTTCAGACTTCCAGTCTATTTATTATGAGGACAATAGTTACTGAAAACTTAGACATCGTGGTGCCAGGGTGAGTATCCTGCACTCAGCGCCAGTGAAGAAGTGTACTGGTGAGACGTCGTGGTGCCAGGGTGAGTATCCAGTCTTTAAGTACATGTAGTTCACTCAGCTGTAAAGTGAACACTTCCATGTGATGGGCTGGCTAGTGAGGGATCGCTTCCTACGAGCAGAAGTAACCTACAAAGAGTGTGTATAGTATTTTTATGTGATTCTGCATTTATCAGCTACGGTATTGTATGAAACTTTTGAGGAAGAGCTATTGGACTGTAAATAAAGAGTTACGTTTTGTTGAAACTGTAAACATTTGTCAAATGGTCATCTGGTATGGAAGTTAATGTTTGTTTTGTTTGTGTTTGATACTAACACTTGCATGATAATTTAAAGTTAAAATAAAAACCCAGAGCTTCATTAACACTTAATATCGTTATTCTTCCTTAGTTCATACTAATCATTGCCTCTGGTGCTCTTGCTTCAGTCCTGCTCTAGTGGCTCGTTTGTCTGTAGTCTTCCTTTCATCTGAATTTCTATGTTGGAAAATAAGTCTTTATTGAATAAATAAATTACGACCTTTCTGAAAATCTATTTTTGATGTTGTGAACTTTTAACTTCATTCCATTGAGTTGCAGCTTGAGTTATGGATGTTCTTGTAGAATTTTAGAAAGAATTTTAAATTAGAAAGTTACCTTACTCCTGAATTGAAAACTTTATTCTTGCATGAATCAGTTTTTTAAGTTTGTTTCTGTTATGTCATGACTAAAAACCAATTTTGATGAGAAACACATACCATTGAAAAAGTGCCATATTTTCATAGGCTCTTTATTATTTTTTGTCATGTGCTTGAGATTTATTAAAAATACATTTGTTGATGCTATATACCTTAGTTTGCTTTATTATACTTAACAATGATAAGTCAGTGGAAAAAGAAACTTCTCTAGCCCCTGACCCAATTGATAGAGATAAAAGATGATTAAAGTACCTTTTAGAATTTAAATGAAAATGAATGTGTCAATATTTGTTATACTATGGTATGAATAATTGTATCAAAAAGAGTCATGTTCTTCATTTTGATGAGCAAATAAAGTGTGCCCAGTTCTAACTCTACCACTTCAGCTCAAACAACTAATGGTATCCCATTTTGCTCACTAATTATCTACCGTGCAATAATTAATTTATATCTTATAATTAGTACCAAGTGCATTAATAATATTGCCATCAACACGCAGGCCCACGAGTTGACAGGTGAGCGGTTAAAGCTGCGCGAGGTCATCATGATAGACATCGCTAACGACCCCGTGAAGCCTGCAGACTACAAGCCCCAGGAAGACCCCACCAAGTTCAAGAGTCAGACCACCGGGCGAGGGCCGCTAGTGGGCAAGGACTGGCAGGATAAGGTGATCTCTTAGCGCCTTGAATGGCTTGAACCTTGCAGTGCGTGAGTGAAATGATGGATAACTTGCTCCGTGCAGTGGAGTAACATTCCACTGCTGTGGAGTAATATTCCACTGCTGTGGAGTAACATTCCACTGCTGTGTGGTAACATTCCACTGATGTGGAGTTGATTATCTCATGATCTTCATCCCCAATACCATTCTTGTCTTGATTAATTTTTGTCTACCAACTTTATCTTTCAACAACTTTATTTTTATCTATCATATCTTTCATCTTTTAGTCATATAGAAACCAATAGCATTTATGTCCATTATTTTATCCACAAAAAAGATTTAACATCACACTTATCTTAGTTTACCCAGTGCTACCGAGCTTGAACTGTAAGACAAGTTCACTAGCAGCTGTGATGGGGCACAGCTTGTATTAGTTCAAGTGATAATGTTAATAATGAGTTGCTGTATCAGGTTATTAATGAGTTGCTGTGTCAGGTTAATAATGAGTTATGCGTCAGGTTAACCCGGTGATGACGTGTTACAAGTTGGTCACGTGCGAGTTCAAGTGGTTTGGTCTGCAGAACAGAGTTGAGAAGATCATTCAGGATGCTGAGCGCAGACTCTTCACCAACTTCCACAGGTCTGCATCTTATGCTAATGGACATTTATAAACCTGGATTATAAGATCACCTTTTAATTTAATATTGGCAAAATGGTGTTTTATTTCTTCAGCGCCTTTGAGACTGATTATTGAACTAGGGATAATTGTAGAAATACACTGCCTGTATTGACGTGTAATAGGCAAAACTAGTTCATTATCGACCTTCCATTATTTTCTGTGATGTATCATATCTAATACTGTTGGTGCGACACATGTTGTGTGCAGAAGTTTATTGATCAGGATGTTTTCTCATTCATATTGCAATATTAGTTTGTGAACAATTATGTCGATCAGGATATTTCCACACATTAACATTCTTACAACCATCACCCAAATCAAGTTTTGCGTGGTTCTAGAACACCTGCGGTAATTAACGCTTTGTAATGATGGGCCCACTTGAGAATTATAGAAGCAAAATGGCAAGTGGCCGTCCAAATGTGCCACTGGGCTCTTTAAGGCCTGGAGTTAAGTGTTTGGCAAATCAATCAGATTTGGTCATCAAGGCCGTACTTGCAAAGTTGGCGGAAAATTGTCTTTGATTTGATAGGTTAGCGTAAAAACCATCATTGATTGGCTGACAAAGTTGTAATTATCTTTGATATTACAGCTCTCATGAATTGCTTTCGTCGCCAGGCAAGTGTTCTGTTGGATCGATCGATGGCATGGCCTCACCATGGAGGACATACGGCGACTGGAGGACAAAACCAAAGAGGAGCTTAGTGAGGTAAGCTGGTCTGAGAGTGGTATGCTGTGCCGAGTGCGGTAAGCTGTGCGGGGTGGCCGAGTGTGGTCTGGTGTGCCGAGTGTGGTCTGGTGTGCCGAGTGTGGTCTGGTTGCCGAGTGTGGTCTGGTGTGCCGAGTGTGGTCTGGTGTGATGTGCCTGGCTGTGGTGTGGCGTCCCTGGGTGGGTGTGGTGTGTCTGGGTATGGTACAATGAGCTTATTTTGTTCTAAGGCAAGTTCTTTGTGCTTATGAATGAAAAACATTTTTCGGGGTCGATTTTGTGACGTCTGGTTTGTTTCTGACGTAATTTGTTTGTGGGCAGCAAATAGTGCAAGGCCCCGTGCGGGGCATGACGTGCGAGTAGGAGGTGCGTTGTACGTCCATCTCTTCTGCCTCAACTGAGTCCTGCTGCTAGACCACGACCTGCTGCAGGAGCAGCGTGTGCATCACGACCTGCTGCTGGAGCAGCGTGTGCATCATGACCTGCTGCTAGAGCAGCCTGTGCATCACGACCTGCTGCTCTGCCCTGGTTACTCTTACTTCGTATCTTCAATCATGCAATCCTACTCCACACGGACAAGCCTCACCACACCGGCATTGCCTATCATTCCACTTACTGAGCGTTTACCATCACTCAATTTCATGGCATCTTATTTCCCGTTACCAACTTTTCCCCTCGCCCCTGAATTATTCCTCACTCCTGCACACATCAGTATTACCGTTGTTGCCCATTAATTTGCATCATAATGTCAGCTGCCTCCACTTGCCTTAATAACTCAAAGGCAAGTTATTAATCATTTACATCCTCCCTATTCCTATTTCATGGTATTTGTGACCCCCTCTTACGGGATAAATACTTAATGTCTACATTGAGCAGCGAATTGTTCTGGATGCTCATTCATTTAGTAGATCATTCCGTAAAAACTCAACTCCATGCAGAGCTCTTTGAGTGTCATCAATTGATATTTGATTTGTTTTTATTGAAATTGTGCAAGAACTGTGGCTGTTTTGTGCATGAGGACTAACGATGTAATCTTTAACAAGATTGTAGTCGCTTCTGTTTTGCTCACGTTTTATCGTTGCAAGCTTGTCCAAAATATGGTAAAATTTAGTGGCAAACGAGGAGACAAATCACGTGAAACTGTTTTCCAGTATTTTCATCTACTTGTAACCTTCCAACTAGAAGCCCCATAGTCGCACTAATGAACTTCTTTACCGAAATTTGATGATCTCACCTCAAGCCCACTAAATTATGCCTTCTAACGTGAGAAGCAACATTCAACTCCGCAAAGCATCTACCCTCGGGGTCCTCAGTGCGGCCTCGCAAGAAAGGTACCGTTATCTTCTTACAAATATTGAATACCACTTCCATGGCACTCATGCCTAGAGATCTTTAAATGTGAATAAGATCATTTTTGGACCCAGAAATATACATTCTGTTATCTTCCGCGTATAAGTTGCAATATCTATGTTTTGCCATTCATTTCTTTTAAATACGCTGTATCACTTAGTTAGATCTTGGCTCGATAAAAAATTGTAATCCGTTTTTGTCCCGCGGAGAAATGTTCCCTATTAACCATTGCCCCTGTTTCGTTGGTGATTTTCGAGTTGGCCGAACCTTCAATTCCTAATGTGGCATTTGCCGCTTGTTTACTCATGTTCTATTGCTGGCCTGTCCTGTGGAAATACCTGGCCACTGAGATATTCTTGCCTGGGCCACGCTTCTTGCTTGGGCGACCGTAGTCTAATTTTGAAACGTTACTAATTATGGTAGCTTTAATTGTGGATCAATGATACCTGCTCCTCCTGAACATTTTCCCTCCCTTTCCACAAGAATTCATTGTTCAGTTTCTTTGGTTTGGATGCTTGTTTGTTCGATAATCGTTACAAAAGCTCCAACTGTATTTCTTGTTAAAACCAAATGTATTTCAATAGCTGAATGAATGATGCCTGCCGGCGGGATAGAACGAGCTCTTATTTATATTCAAATTTTTTATTTTGAGGATAAACTTTTGTTCCCTTTTTAAGTTAGGTAAATACAGGAGGGTAAACAAATTATTACTTGAATTTTCGACTACAACATTTATTGACAGCCGGGTTCTGGCATCCGAGTATTGCTGGTAGACACGTTTGTTTGTTTTTCGAGCTCACACATGAATACATTGTTCACCGTGCATTGAGTTACTTTCGTTGAATAAAAGCCCCGACGATGATAAAGATTCGTTTAAGTTTGTTGTTCCGCTCATCTGCAGGAGCCTAATTTCCTGTCACATGGGTGCCTGAGGTGTACAGAGTTTACGTAATATTGACGAACAATACTTGCCTAAAATTGTTTAAAGTTCATAAAAACAATCGGTAGGATGACGAACTAGCAATCTGTGCATCTGCAGCACAGGTCACGTGTACATAGAATACATAGTCTATGGCTGCTTGTCATTCACATGGTGAACATCTGTTCTCATCATCAAACAACCAATTCACGAACCAATATCTCACCTAGTTTTGATTTTATTTTTCGTAAATTTTATACATATGCTGACTACAAAAACTTTTTTCTAAGCATTGGTTTATTTCATCTCTGTACATGATTTAGATGGAGGTTTTGTGTGAGGGAACTTCCACGAATGTCCGTGAGACAACCTGCCTATTTAGCTTACTTTGAGAGATTATGTGCTAAATTGTTGCATTGCTTGATGGTATCGCTGCATGTGGAAGTTAAGATCAACTCTAATTTTTTCTTCTCATAGACAGTGACAAACGTGAACTACTTCAAGCAGGGCTCCCACATTAATCTAAGTTCAAATTGTTTCTGTAAAAGCCGTTCACATACTACAGTTCTTCTCTAGGAATACTCAGCTAGGATATCCTTTCTGTGGGCGCTATACTTTGTCTGGTTTACTTGAGTGTAGCGGCAACCTGGAAGAACTTGTGCCCCATGCACTCAAGTGAGAGCCTCGTGAATACGTTTTCTTATTCTCGGGCACGCAAGGTAACGCCGTGTAAACTTATGACTGCAGACGTGTTAGTGAGAATCTATTGATGTTGTGAACTGAAAGAGGATGTGTGACAGGAAGACTCGTTAATATGCATTACTTTTTGCTGTAAAATTTGACTCATTTTAGTTGAGCACCTAAAAATAATTAGAATTACTGGTGTGTTGCGCTGCCTACTCTATATCTTGCGTTGTGAAGTATACGATAATGGGAGCCGGTGAACAACATGTCTTATCGAACGGGGCCGTGTTGAGGTTGTGCGCGTATCAGTTGTTCGATAATCTGAAAATTTCCTTTTTGGAATTCAATTTTATTTATGACCCGTAGAGTTTTCTGGCCATATGTAGTATTTTAGGAGTAGCTTTGGGTTTGTTTGATAGGGAAAAATGGTGGACTTATGTGTTTGAATCGTTAACTTGCTCTTCAGAAGCTTCTTGTTGATGCAGTCTCAGCAACATATATTTCTTGCCAGTTATGCTCGATCTTTACTCGTTCTCTTCTTCCCATGTTGGGTTTAAAATGAAGTGAATATCGGGAGTTAATTGCCGTGCGGACGCGAGTCTAATTTCATTACGTTATGGCATTTTGTATCAAAACAGACGTGTATCTTACGTTTTCCTTATTTGTACAGTTTGCTTTATCGTTTGCATGAAGTGGGTGGTGTAATTATATATCATTTATGCAACTCGAATAATTGATGCACTAATGCTGATTGCTGATGAGCTTAGCGTGCATCCATGATCCTCTCTAACTCTTCGTCCTTATTCTGTGTATAAGCAAAACAGGGACACGTCGCTGCCTCACATATTATATACTATGACAATCTTCAGGTATGGAATATAGATATTTTCTCTTAGCCTCTTTGCTGTCACATGCTTACAAGAAACTTTATGATTTCAATCTATTGGCTACTGTTGTTCCTTGTTGATTAGAGTGATTTTTCCTGGTGCCTTTATATTTTATTTGATGATATTCCTGTTCTTAGTTTGCGTGTATCTAATTTTATTTCTCTTGAATATTTTTGTATTTAACTTTTTTCCTCACTTATTTATTATACTTGTTTACTTTAGTGTGTTTACATCCTGATTTGGTCAGAGCCTTTTACCAACCTTATTTTTAACGTGAATTCCTTCACATGTAAAATTTATATATCCCTTGAGTGGTCCTGATTTCAGCCGACAGCTCGTCGGTGTTTAAAATTTTTTGATGCTCACGAAGCCTTGCGTTGAAACTTATCAATCACTTCGATCATTACTAGGAAAAGTCAACTAAAGAATAACGCGACTAAACATCGCTTGCTTTATCTGGAAATGTTTTGACTACAAATGGCTTTGATAACAGCTCGAGTTGTAACGTGCAGCCTTGACTCGTGTGACGCATGTCTGAATATTAGTTAACATGTCACAATTACTCGACTTTCAGCTTCCTTTGGAGCTTGGATGAACTCAGTCACTCAGGAATGTTCTGTCGCTGCTTCCATGTGAACTTATTCATAATCCAGAGGCGGGCTTACCGCGCACGAGGGAGCAGCTGGGCGGGGCTTTCAATGTTGATGAATTTAGTTGCTTACCATGACATTCGAACCTGATTTCCAACGTATTTTGTCATGACAGTTCTTATATTTGGCATGGCATCTTTATCAAGGAGCGAGGGTTTAACTTTATTTATTAATCGCAAGTCATTTTCAATCATTTGATAACATTATGCGTTGTTACATGTATACCCTCTGGAGCTGCTCATGTTGGTTGGTCGTATGTTTGCAAGCGTATGTGTCGGGGCTTCTTTTTCTTGGCTTATAAGTTATGTACACGATTTTCTTCATCATTTTGATTTATTGCTTTCATAGACCTTACTAACAATTTAGTTTTGAGGTCAGAAGCTTACGTGACCTCGTTAGTCATCTCGTTATTGAGTGCGAAAGAGCCAGTCAATCTGTCTGCGTTGCATGCCTGTATTAGTCTAAGATAATTTTACATTCACTTGTGTTAATTCAACTCATCCCTTCTCTGTGAACTTGATATTTTTTAGCTAAATTTTCAGAGCTTTCATTAAAACTTATCCTCCTGGACATTGGCCAATCTTGGATTGATTTTATTCGCCTAAGTTGACATCTTTTTACAAATCTTTAAATCTAAAAGTTAATTTGAATTAAACAAATTTCCATTGCCTGCCTCCACCACACCGGAGCTCTCCCTGTGAGCTCAATCTCGTTGGTACAAGCATGACTTCTGCTCCACGAACTGCCGCTTGTGGCGTGCAATGTGTATGAAAAACAATACAGCAATATATTGTCTTGACGCTACATGGATACTGTGCATTAAATTTATAATCTTGAGCATATTATGGTTACGGTTGATATACATCACGCCAACAGTTCCTAGCCCAAATCTTTGTGCATTCGTTTCCAAGTGCTACTTTGGATAACGATCGACATGCTTGTTGTGTGTCCCGTGTCTTCGAGCCTAAAAAGTTAACTGTATATCGTAGGTCGTGTGCCATAGCTGTCACAGACGGTTAGTGATCTATTACTCTACAGTTCTCCCGCTGGACATCACGTGGTGCTCTCACACTTAGGATTTTTGGCTTTGAAATCGCCACTGGAAAACTTGATGTTTCGTTCGTTGTTAGAATGCAAAAGGTCTTAACTAGACGCAAGATGTGTCTGGCCCTAGGCCATGTACATGGTAGCGCCTATAGTAGAGAGTAGTGTTGTTCTAGGACTAGTAAATCACTGCACCTCTATTTATAAAACCGTGAATCGTTAAAAAATGTAATTACTAGTTTTGAAGCTGTTATTGTTAGGAGCGTCCAGCGAGTGACGAACATTCCAAGAAGTCTTGGTGTATTGAACTATGAACTTTTTTGTCTTAAGGATAACTTTGTTATTCCGGCGAACTCTTGGTGTTGTTTATTTTACCGTGCATTAATCAATGATTGCTGCAGCCCCACTCACACTATATTGCTGTCGTTTATCATAGACCACGTCGCACACACCCTGGTGAACGCACGCTATAGGTGCTCCTACAAGGTGAAAGTATTAGCAGGTAGAGGTAGCGGCAAGCACTTCTTACTCAGACATTTGGGGGGACTTTGTTCAGTTTTTGGCATCATTTTATTATATTCTTATCTAATTTATTATTAAAAATAGAAACTGATAACTTTTCTTCCCATTTTCAGCCCGATATTTGAGATAGAAAATACTTGCCGTTAGCGCTATTTCGGGTAATATTTCCCCCGTGTACAAGTACCTTCTGACAGGCCGGTCAAAGCGACGCCGTGAGCGCGATGGGTGTGACGTGAGGAGTCCTGTGAGAGATGAGCGGTCGCATGGGTGATATAAATTGCTCTTATTCGGTGTGATAGTAAACATTTTACCTCACTTGCTCACGGATCAGTAATTATCTCCTTAATTCAATGACTGACATTTGCCTACATCACCGGATTTTCATGAACGAATTCTGTAGAAGCCAACGATCTGTGGCAGCCTCGTGTAACTGAGTCTGAGTCACACAAATTTGAAAGTCAATTGTATCCTTTGATGTCTACTATGTCATTTAATTTCAAATCCTCTACATGTAACTAAACGCGAAATTGCTCATCTAAGTCGAAGACTCTAATTATGATTATTGATGCTAACAATTGACTGCCATTCGTGAGATCGTCAGATAATTGCGTCAGACGTGCGTTGCGTTTACGAACTTCTACGTATTTAGCCTCTGGCTGGGATGTGTTACGAGGTTTGTTAAATCTGTTTGAGACCTTTCAGCTACTGGCACTTCCTGATTTATGGTGTGCATAGGCGTGATGAGAGACGTCAACGCGCCCGAATAATCAAGTAAGCTAAAATTGATTGTTTCATTCTCACCTGTTTGGAGACAGCACAGGTTGCAGCGAACTTAGCAGCAGCAGTGGATACTATCGCAGGAGATAATGAAAATAGCTTACGATGTTCAATTATTTATCAGATATCAGTCGCCTTTACTGCAAGTGGTCTGAAGCGCACACAATGTTAAGCCAAGGGGCTTGGGCTAAATTTATTTCCTGTAAATATGAAAAAAAATCACGCTTTAAAATACAAATCAACAGTACGGCTAAGGGATACAAACCAGCGAGGTAAAAAATATTCACCCAATTGTCTTCAAAATCACGCAATCGTTAAAGATAGTCTTATGTTTGATGCATAGACTGAGGTGTATCTGTGGATATGCAGTAGAAATTTGTTGTCTCCTATACCTAAAATGAAGTCTGCAATTGGTAATCTATCGTTCTTGATTTCGTTGCACGTTCGATAGTTAAATAGCAGAAGCGCTAATAAACATTTGGCCACTAAACTAACATTTTGAGGTTAGCATTCCCTGCAAGAAACATTACACCGTATTTTCTGAGAAACTACGGCTTTACACAGAAAAATTAGGGTCAACAATTATCGTACAAACCAAGTAGTATCAAAGTTTTCAATAACTTATCTTCCAACTAACTTCCAGTGCTAGGTTGTCGCACGTTTCACCGAGAACTATTAGCGCCAGCCACCTGATATTGGCTCCAACTTGGCTCTATGCTCGGCGTCGGCACACCACGCAGCTCACAGAGAGGCTTCGACGACACGTTGTCTCAAGAGCGTCTCGTGAGCTTAATGTGAATCATGAATTTTAATTACCGGAGTTTGTTAAGTCCCTAATATTCTGAAATTCATACCCTAAAACGAGGTCCCAACAATATGCCACAATGGTTGTAAAGGAAAGTTCAATTTAAGGAAAAAAACGTTTTAAAAATACTAGGAGCGGTTAAAATCATTCAAGTTCTAATGATAAGCCTATGTACATAAAGCAAAACCCTCAACCGATCGGGAATGCCAAATTAGCATAGAGAGCTACAAAAAATCACCAAGTTATTATACGGTTACCCGCGTCTGGGCACTTTCAAAATTTAAAGCCATTTTCAGTGTCCCTTAAGAGCTGTGAAGTCCCTTACAAATGGTTTCTTTAGGAGCAGCACGAGCCAGAGTCTGCAACGAGGTCCTGTATTTTCAAAGCCGCAGTAAGCGCGGTTTGATCTCTGACGGGGTAATAAAGTGAATACGCTACTACATACACTACAATACAATTAAAATACGTACTTATCACAGTTCCTCAGATTTAGGGAAATTTATGTAACTATTGCTGGCGGGAGGCCACATGGCCCCAGACTACCTAAGACTGCAGATGCTCTGATGAGGGCGGATTAGGCAAGCGAGATAAAGTATAGGTCGGCACGAGCATGTCATTTGTTATGTTAAACATTTCAATAATTAAGGACCTCATTTCCTCTGCCCAGCCGATGAGGGCAGAAGACGATAACAGCCTACTGAGCACAGGGGGAACGGTTGACAGAAACTGCATGGGTGAAGGAAAAACCAAAGAAAATTTATCTGCATGACAAGAAGTGTAGCACGGAGTAACACACGTGAACAGCTAACGATAAACCGCATCGATTTTTTGACTTCTTTTGATCGCGTACCACGCATAGGTTCTGTACCACCACACACATGCCGCGCAGTATTAGCTGGTAATAAGTGGTTTTGGTTGCAATCATCATTTGGTCTTACACAACACAATCATAAGCAAATCACGTATATATTTATACATGTACTTCAGGAATTCAATGGTGTACTGCTGCGACCAGGAAAAGAAGTGCAGTAATTGTTGCAAATCGTTACTAGATTTTGTTATGTTAGAAAACATTCAAAGTGAATTAAAAAGTAACAAACTACCAATTATTCATTCCACGAAAATATTCCCGTACCACGTGGAATGCCCTAGTGTGGTATAAACGTGTACCACAGTTTGGAACCACAGACCAAGCAATTTGAAGACAACCAAGAGCAACAAACGTGGCCGATAAGACAAGGCAGTCGAGCTGTAGAACATTGCTTCACTTATCTCATGACACACAACTGACAATCCCAGCACTCATATTTAGGCCAATTCATCGCGAAAGTAGCGGCAGGTTATGAGCAACGAGTTATAACTTGTTAGACGTTGTAGCATCGATGTTTATGACTATTATGTAGAGGGAGATGCTAGATGTTAAGTGCATGATACATGTTAGCCAAAAAACTGTGAGCATAAAATTAGATTACTTTTTACAAACAAGCCAAGTTCCAGGAAAACTTTCCACGAGATAATACAAAAACTAGCCATCAGCACGTGTACTAGCAGCTAGACCGAACTGCCATCAGCACTTGAAATACGTACGTAGCAGTGTTAAATTAATGAAAACATTTCAAACTACAAAAAAATAAAAATAAATAGATAGGAGGGATAAATCTGTCCCCTTGCATAAAGTTAAACAGAAAACAATGAATGGCGATTGCTTTATTGGGGCGCCGAAAATATATCAGACACTTTATTCAACTATGATGTCTTGGCGCAGACAACAATAACCTTGGAAAAATCTTCAAAGAGATCCATCAATAAAATTATGTAATAATAGAGAATAAAATTTGCTGTCAATGACACAATATAATTGCAAGTATTATAATTACCTATACCGGTATATCAGGGTACCAGGTTATTTTTACGTCAACGCACATTTACGTCAACGCATTTACGCATTATTTTGTCTGCATCTCAAACTCCTTTCAAATAATGCTTTATAAAAACTAATAAAAACTATATTGGAAATAAAATTTAACATAATGGTGACTGTGAAGAATTTTGATTATTCTACTAGACCAGTTTCCACTAGACAAATAATTTTCAAGTTATATAAACAAGATGAACAATATAGCACTTAGCTCAATGAAAGGTGTTTTTTTTTGTAATTTTTCTAATTTGCAATTACAATGCATAGAAAAACAAAATATATGATAAAAATTTACCAAAATATTGACTTCAATCAACAAGTTGTACCCTTACAAGCCATAGTATTTTAGGCTAAATCTTTCTTCTGAATTTCTGTACAGATGAGATAATGTCATCTCATTCCTGTATATACTTGCTCCATGGTAAATATTAATCCACTGATCAATTCCAGGATTGTAGTAAAAAATGTAACCTAATTCAAGCCCAATGAAACTAAGCAATTAATAATCACGCTAAAAAAGAGGCACACATACAAAGTTGAGAGATAAATGAAGTGATGTAAATGTCATCGGCTGGCTGAAGTTTCAGCGAATGTCAGCTCCACTTGCATGTCTGCACATCGGCAGTCAGCCAGCTCCCTCACACAACTCCCCGCCTCCATCATCTGCAAAATGTAAATATACAGATATATGTACAGTAACTGTTCATACAAGATTGATTGTTGAAAATAATCCAGGTGAGAAGCTTCATAAATGCTTGCGCAGATTTACTGGAAAAGGAAACTATGACAGGTGTTCTGAACAAATTACAAAACAAGATTGCGACTGCCACCACATTTAGGGGTTGTTTGCATTACTCTGGGTGTTACTTCAAAATGCAGGGATCTCTTGACAACATTACTGATACAGAACTGAAGTTAAGTTGAGAGACTTAATGTCAAATTCAATTAAAAGTGAACAATTTCAAGGATTACAAAAATTCATAATTAATACCTACACAGTACACAATGTACAAATGATGCAATCATTTATATTATGATACTTCCATCAGCACTCACAATTTTTCAAATGAGTAGGGAATTTTGAAGACTGGGGTATGGTAAATTTGGATAGGACTGCTAACTGCTTCCACGTTGGACTTCTGACAAAAATATTGAAATTTGTCCTAACCCACCAAACCATTAACAAGAATTTAGATACTTGGTCAACACCATTGAAATTTGAAAGAACACTTAACTGCAAAGCACTCACCTTGACATTCAGGCATAGGCCAAAACAAGCAGTTTCCAATGCCAGAGTAGCAGAGGACAGTAACAGCAGCCAGGAAAACAAGAGAACAAATGGTGCAAGGTTTCCTTTCTAAAAAGAAACCTGCAAGATATAAAAGCACAAAGACTACATGATTGTGTAGGAGTCCTGCAGGAACAGGCTTAGGTATGAGCAACACTGGTATCAGCCACTGCAAACAATACATTCTTTGTTGATTTCCTCAGTTATAGATGTCTGTAAATGAGATAATATTTATAGTAATAAATAATAATGTAAACAAAATATAAGAAAATTGCTAATATAAAGCATTCACTGGTTTTCAATCAAGAAGACCAGTGAACTATATCAGATCACCAAACTATATCACTAGTAAAAAGACTACGGTAGTAATAATAGTGTACCTATATTTTCTTTCAATAATATATTCAAGTTGATAAATATAAGAATGGGTAAGCTCAGGGCCTCAGGCCAATCTGAATCCGTCAATGCAAAGTACAAAAAATAGTTGTTTAATTGGCTTGAAAAGACAAAATTGTATGTGTGTATGTAATTGGGCTATTTTTTGAGGTAATTTTATTAGCAAAGTAGGGATAGATGATGGATCTAGCCTGCTTGAATAGTGAATACTTTTGTTACAAAAAACAGAAATTTCTAGTAATTTCTATGCTTAAAAATTCTTGGTTAATTTGTAGTTGAAAGAATCAAGTGATATTGATACCACGGTGACGGGACTGATCAACATGGTGCTGACACATTGATCAATTATTTGACATTGGTTCAGTACCTAACTAAAAATATATGCCAGCTCAAGATCAAGCTGCCTTAATGGGAAGCTTGAAATTATACAAATATCTTGACATCAAAGGCTCTACTCATAAGTTTTGATCCCAACAAATCTATGAACTGGCAGATCTGCTCATTGTATCTTCAACCCATGGTGAAACTTGGATGTCTCGTTTCATTTGGTATTTAAATGGATGAAACTGCTAGTCTAGTCTAGAAAAATTTTGTTAGG